TGATCATATATCTCATTTGTATAAAGAAATTAAATGGCTTAAAATGAATGAGCGTCGCACTCTCCATTTTTCTAGTTTTTTATTAAAAATTATAAACACTCCAGGTTCGCCTGATTCTATAAGAGAACGCTTAATTTTCCGACATTCTGTTCATGATATAAATGTAAGATATTTAAAAAGATTAACTATGCCGCTTCATAGTAGTGCATTGTTTCAACGATCATTCTCATACAATGCTGTTAAACAATTTCATTCAATTCCCAACCAGTTCCTTAATATTTCTCTTTCAAGTTTCAAAATACAATATAAGAAATATTTGCCGAATAGAAATCTGAACAAACTTTTTTAGATTAGAGATTGAAGTTTATAATATAGGTATATAAGTAGAAAAAATATGTCAAACAAATTTTATAGTAACCAGTAACCGAATTTTATAGTGACCAATATTAATTAATATCTTTTTGAAATTTTAATATACATTCAGTCCATTTAGTGTTAACACGTTTATTATTATGATTATTCTGTATTGTTGTTTAAGACTTATTACTATTATTATTTTTTTTTGTCTTATTTTGGTTCAGCGAGACTTGCGCCAATATTAGGCAATGTATGTTTTTTTTTTCTAAATTACTTTTGTAAAAAGATTATTTGTTTTATTCAATAAAGTCATTTATTATTATTATTATTATAAACGCAGTGGTGAATGAGTGGTTATGATAAGTTTTATAAATAAAAAAAGTAAAATTTTGAACAGGTTGTTAATTTTGAGCAATCTTAAATCTTTGATTGGGCCAGTTACATAATCATATTTCCTAAGATTATTTGTTAACCGACAGCAAGAATTGTGAATATTTTGTAGTCTGTAGACATTTGACCTAAGCCATGATAATACGTTATGATTCCAAATGAATCTTTGGAAATAATTAATGATTTTTTTTGTTTTAAAACTGAAGAAGTGCTGTTGGTGTATAACAGTTTCAGCCTTAAATAGCTTGTTTTGATGACGCTCTTGACTTGCATAAGAAAATCTTTGCATACATTATTAAATTTTAAGTCTGTGCTACCTATTTTCAGGTCCAAGCTTGCTTCTTTCTTTCTTCCAAAAGTACGTTCGATTTTTGAGGATTGAGTTTCATGTCATTAATAGTCTCTAATACTCCCGACATCAATATTAATTAATAATATTAAAATCATCAGGGGAAAGCTTAATAATAATTGAGTATCATCGGCATAACAATTTATACTTGACTTTTATTTTGACGATTAAATCGAATGTATACATTAAGAACAAGAGGGGCCCAAGAACTCAACCTTGCGGTACCCCTGAAGAAACATGTAAGTTTGATATACTTGTGCCCAGAACCACCTGCAGCTGCCTGTCTTTAAGATATGACGCTAGGAAACGTTGTTTCTGTTTATCAAATCCAAGATAACTACACTTGTTCATGGTGTCGAATGCATTACTAAAGTCGAGAGAGACAAGAACTGTTGCCAGGTTTTTATCCTAATTATACAGGGTGTCCGCCAACTTGGGATTTTCCTTTTCAGAAACAACTACCCTTGAAATAACAAACGTAATGTGTAGCGAAACGAGGGCGACCAAGTAAAAAAAAATAAAGGAAAAAGTACTCACTCTCCAGTTGACGAGAAGGGCTAAGTACGTCTCTGCCCGAAATCATACCGCTTCAACAGAAAATGAAATCAGCTGATGCATTACCGAGCAGACGCAGAAACCACATTGATTGTCTTACACTTAATGGCACATCTTCTAACAAGGAAGGCAAAATGTTGCGTAAAAGGTCTAGGTATTGCATCCCGTCCAATCGATTTGGGAGAACAGATGGTCCAATGAGCATATCGCTCACCATGCCAGCCAAAACATTCACCGAAAATGTTTGTTGAAAATGTGACCGACGGGCAGCGTGCGGATTTTCTATTGACCAAACATGAGTGTTGCGAAAGTTATTCACCTCATTACGCGTGAACGTAGATTCATCTGTCACTAATATGCACTTCAAAAAGTCCGGATTATTGTCATGTTGATGCAACAACCACTCACAAAACCGCACTCTTGCTGGAAAATCGTCAGGTTGAAGGGCTTGTACACGTTGGACGTGAAACGGATACAGATACACTTTAGCTTTTGATACTTGCACTTCTCTAGCCACGTCTCTAGTGCTTGTTGAGGGATTCTCGTGTACGCGATTACCTCTACACGCGTGACCGTAACCGTCGGTGGTTACTGACTTGCATACTGACCTGACACACTGACCCCGACCCAGTTCTGTCGTCGGGTTGAGCCAGTGACCGTGTACCAGTCGGTGATGTCGCGGCTACAGGACCGTATTCAGATAATTTTGATGTTGCAGAGCCCTTTATCTCGGTTCCCTTAAGACATTGGTGTATATGGTACTAAGAAAAATTGCTTATGTTTTCAAGATCTACACGTCGGGTAAAGGAAAACCCCAACTTTGCGGACACCCTGTATATAGTGCAGAAACAATGCTACGTCCTTTTCCGTATTCAACGTGCCTCGGTGCTTTCCATACAAACGCCACTCTTAAGGGAAACAGCACTGAATATTCCGAATATTTTCTAGTAGAAAATTCCGGTCGGCACGCGATTTCCTTACGTTTCGCATGACATCAGGAATTTTCTTTGTATTAAAAGTCATTGCCATTTAACTCGGTCGTGTAGATCGTTCGAAAACTACTTTGTTTTTAAATTCGTCGAAATTGAATCGCAGGTAGTCCTTGACATATATACGGATTCAATTAGTGGCTTACACGTGTATTTTCGTTTTCGCAATAATAGTACGGTCCCCAGAAACTGCATTTTCGCATGAAAGAGGATCAAGCGGGGGTTTCGGCACTGAAATTTCAAGTTGATCGCATCTATGAAAATATTACATTTAAATATTTTGAAACACGTCAACATTTTTTGTTTGCCTTCTAAAATAAGATATGGTATTTTTTTAACGTTATACATATACAACACGCAAAACCATGTCTCTCATTTTTTGTCTGTACGTCCGCCAATCTTTGGCTATTGGCCTATAACTTGAGGATTTTGTTGAAATTTAAACACAGGGTTGCTACTATGCCAAGGACAAAAAAGCTTAATAGTTTTATTAAATTGGTCCAGTAGCGGCGGGCCAGGGAGCGAAAATAGAAAAAATAGGCTTTTTTGACTATTCATAGTCACATTTAACCTCAGCTGTCATGACAGATCCTGTTTGTAGAATTCGTTACATTATTAGCGAATCTTTTTAAACGTCTCGAAGACGGCTATCAATTGCAAAACCCGTACACAAAATGCATGTCAGTCAGTTCTCTGTCTGTAAATCTTGGCTTTTTAAATCTTTTTAATAAAAATTTTGATTTCAATCTAGTAATTTTACACTGCTAACAATGTCCGCTTAACGTCAAAATAAGTCATAAAAAATCAAAACAACTTTTGTTTGCAGTCATGGCTAACTATGTATAATCAACAATTCATTTAAATTCGCAGTACATTTCCTATCATGTGACAAATTTTTTAGTTTGATTTTATTCAAAATTGGCACAATTTATAGATACTCAACAAGAGCACCTTTTTTATATAGAAAACCCTAAATTTTCAAATTCTAAAATTGAATTTAAAAAATAGAATCACATAAAAATGTTGGGGCTAAAATAACCTGAGTCCGCCCCTGTTACATACGCTTCCAAACAAAACTGTCTAAAATTATTAATATTTTTAAATCCAGTCTAAAAAACTAGTCTAGAATACCAAATTTTATGTCTTTGTCTAAACACGTTTCGGAAATATTAAGGAAAAACCATCTTCAGGGGAGCCCCTTTAAAAGACCCTTAGGGGACGTTTGTCGACCTGTGTTTATATAAACTTTTCTTCCTATTTTAAGCTCTAGAAAGCGCTGGTAGAATATTTCACACTTTTTTATAGTAACTAAATGTATCATTCGTGTTCTATTTAGGCACGTATTTAATTCTGAAATTCCGTTCAGTAGTTTTCCGATATTAATAGTTAGCAGCACATGGACTCACTTATTATTTTCCTTATTTCATACCCTAAAGATATTTTAATACCTCGAAATGATTAAAATCCCTCCTTTTCAGAGTTTCCGTAAAACTATACCTACAGCAAGATTAATTAAGAGGTAGTTTTCGCAATACGAGCAGATGCTTTGTTATTTCAGAGGGTTTATTAAAGGCGAGGAATTTATCATCTCTCCAATATTTCCGGAATTCGCTTTCTTTGTTGGATGTACCTTTCAAGTTTCCATACTCTTTTATTCCGTAAAATAACATACAACATTATAATAAGCATGTAAGTAAATACATGACGTTTGAAAAATACATTCTGTTATTATGTCGCCTTATGAAACATCTTGAATTCAATCCAATTTCATAGTTTACAATATTTCCAAATGCATCTTGAAATAGATCAACACAAAATAGTACTTCGATGATATTTAACTCCGTTGCATTCGAAATATAAAATCAATATCCTCGACGCATTTACTAAATCAACTATGAAAGCAAAACAAACTATACCTACTAGCTTATTAAAACTAGTCATCTTATGCCTCTCAAAGCAGGGTAGAAGTCCTTGTACAGAGTTTACCTCCAGTGGTTCAACTGCTCCACACTTGTCCTCATCATGAATTAAACTCACTGCATTCGTAATTAAAATGGTCGCATATGACCTTTTATTGTCCATTATCAACCTTGATAAAAAAGGCACTCAAGAACAATCACACCAGTAAGAATACAGCACAACAATTCAACAACACAATATCGACTAACACTAACAAGGGTAGAACAGTACTAAATGATCACTTGCTGAGTACCAAAATAGGAAACGATTTACAGGCTAGATCGCTAATCAAATTCTGACTCTGTTATTATAAAAATTTACCTCGGTACTCACCCACATTTCCTCTTTTAAAGTAGCGCCGGCGACTGTCTAAGGCCAGCCCACCCTCGTTTCCTTTGCACCGCCCTGCTATCTCAGCACAGATGGTGCTCGTGATTGTAGGAGCCCCGTTAATCATAAAACGAGTATATGCAAAACAAGCTCATATATTACCAACATTCAAACAGGAAAGACTATGCATAACGTTCGTTGTCCAGAAATCCGTGATGAAAACAATTTTGGACAATGTTTTTTTTTGACACATAACAAGCATTAAAATGTCACTTAGAACTGATATAGCACGTTGTGTGATCACACATAAATCACTGTGTCCGTTATCCTCTTTTTTCGTTCCTGAAATATCGTCCGTGTATGCGTAGATTTTCATTGTATTCCAAATTGCCAAATTGTGTCTCCGGTCACCATGTGCGCGATATTCTATTGATGGATATTCCCTCCATAGAGAGCGGCTCCCTCAACTGTGTCATGTCGTTTTAAAAAGGGTTCGTCAATGGAATTTTTTTCTGGTGACAGCTTCAGTTGGGTTAATTTTTCACCTGAAAAATGAAATGAGATTAGCTTCGCGTCCATTTCGGGGATATCTGCACCGGCGACGTTTCACAGATTTTTTCTGCCGGGAAATACGTTCAGTGATTGAGCTATGTCATTTCACACGTGATAACGGTGCTGAAAAGAAAAAAGAAATGTTGTTTATGGCTCACCTGTACTAATTATCTGAGGTTTGTATTATCGGAGTATGATTTTGGTTCCGATCAGGGCCTGATACAAAACCAGAGAATAGTATGAAAGAACCGAGTTTTAGGAAGGACGGGGCCAAACATTTTAGGTCAAGGTGCCGGTCATGAATATTTTTTTTTTAAACAGACAACACAGACAACGGGTAGTAGATGTATGGTATTCAGGTTAAGAGAACAAGCCTTTTTCAGAAGAGCTTACGAATAACAAGAGCTGGTCAGCATGTGACTAATTTTATGAGGTTTTATGTATACAGGATGTTATTTAAATACGTGGCCAAACTTCGGGAGGTGATTTTTTTAGTTATTACAAAATTAAAAGTATGTAATAAAAATAGGTGTTTCTTGCATATCTCGCTTCCTTTGCGAGATGAAAAATAAAAAGCACCTTATTGCATGTACCTGGGACAATAACATAATAAAACATTAAAACCACCAAACGGCAGTCAACATTAGACTAACGTCTATTATAAGTCTAGGGTTATTTCACTGTTAAATGTTTTCATTGAAAAAAATCGGTTTTCCTTGCCATATCTCGCTTCCTTTGCGAGATGAAAAATAAAAAGCACCTTAATGCATCACCCTGGAACAGTAACATTATAAAACATTAAAACCACCAAATTAATTAAGAAGTTAACGTTAGACGAAAGTCTATTACAAGTCTAGGGTTATACTGTTAAATGTTTTCGTTGAAATAAAAGGTTTAGTTTTAAAAATAAAATTTTGTATAAGTACTCAATGAAGCATAATAAGTAAATGATAAAAATTTCAAAATGATTGCACTGCTTTAAAGCCCTTTGACCTTTAATAATGTGTGGATGCACCCTGATGTGCTACGCTTTCTCCAACGCGCCTAGGCATGCTTCTGATCAGGTGGTCAATGTCCTCCTGTGGTATCTCATTCCAGGCAACCACCAACTCCTCTCGAAGTGCTTCTAGAGTCTGAGGAGGACGTTGCAAATTGAGCAATCTCCTACCCATCATATCCCACACGTGCTCAATTGGGGATAAGTCGGGAGATCTTGGTGGCCATGGTAACAATGTGACATCATTATGTTGAAAGAAGTCTATTGTGTCTCTTGCAACATGTGGTCGGGCATTATCTTGTTGGAAATTTGGATCTACCAGGGTGTCAAGATAGGGTAAAAGATGGGGTTCTAGAACTTCGTGGATATAACGCTGCGCGTTCATGTTACCTCTGATGAAGATTAAAGGTGACCTGGAACCATAAGCTATAGCACCCCAAACCATAACTCCAACAGTGTGATGAACATGTCTTTCAACAAAAAACTGTGGATTCCTCCTTTCACCACGTCGCCTTCTAACCCTGGCACGACCATCGTGCATGCCTAAACAAAATCGAGACTCGTCACTAAAGACAATACTGTTCCATTCCTGATCCCAGAGTGACCGTTGTCTGCACCACTCAAGGCGATTACGTCGGTGTTCTCGAGTTAAAGGGAGGACCCAGTGTGGCCGGCATGAAAACAATCCAAAACTTCTCATTCGTCGGTAAACACTTCGCATGCCAATAGGTCTTCCGTGTTCTGCAAACCATTCATTTGCAATGGACCTGGTAGTGGAGAAACGGTCCCTTAAGGCCAATAATCTTAGGTGGAGATCTTCACGGTCTGTTGTTCTACGACGGCGTCCAGTGCCCCTTGCTCTTTGCGTACGGCCTTCTCGAAGCCATGCCTGACAACACCTAACCACAGTGTCTACACTTCTTTGCACTCTAACTGCAATTGCCCGAAAAGAAAGTCCAGCTTCCCGAAGTCCCACTATACGGCCCCTATCAAACTCACTAAGTTGACGAAATCGTACAGGTCTCCGTACTCTAGGCATCGTAACCGATCGTAAAGGATGTCAAGAACCAACGCCAACGCTGATTCTTTACTGCGGCTGAAATATTCATTTTTAGAGCGTTAGTGAATTAAAAAAACGCAGTATAAAAACCGGAATGTCCAACTGATAAGGCTGAAAATTTTTTCACTTGTTATTTACAGTAAGATAAATACATTCACCAACTTTTATTAAAATAAAATCATTTAAACTGGGTGTTCGGATTTATATGTCACTTAGTATATTTTATGTTTATTTGTTCTATCGGAGGCAGGTATAATCTGAGCAACAAAATTCCAAAAAGTGCTTTTTATTTTTTATATGGCAAACGAAGCAAGATATGAAACAGACTCATGATACAAAAAAGTTGTATTTCTTGCTTAATTCGAAAAATATAGAAAAATTGAAAAGAAGTCAATGTCGAGACAAATTTTTTGTCAAAGATATTGGTTAGGGTGTTTTTCTGGTTAATCATGTCAATCTTATCGGGACTACTAAATTAGCCTGTTACTGCCCATGATAACACTGCTAAATATGAACAAAATCGACTGAAAGTTTATAAGATATTTAAGAAAAACCGATTTTTTAAAAAAACATGTTATTTTTTTTATTTTTTATGTGTCTTGAAAATGAAGCATTTTAGGACTTATATTTATATGAACTTTTCATCTTAAAATTACCCAAAGAATCACCTCCTGAAGTTTGGCCACGTCTTAAATGACACCCTGTATATTTTAGGACAGGTAACTTTGGATGCCAAAGAATAATCGATACCAAAATTTGAAGATGTGATCATAAGACAATATAATAATTTTATGAACCATCGGAATCTTTACTGTTGATAACTCTTCTAGATGGTGATATGTACAAATTTTGGTTTCAAAGAAGCAAGACACTGTTAACTATATCAAAGATATGGTAGTTCTGACTTATTGTTTACATCTCTGGAGGACAAGTAGAATTCGTGCATAAGTAAAATTACGTGTATGAAGTTTGTTAGCTGTATTTAGAACCTATTATTACGAAGCTATCAAAAAGACGCTATTACTTCGAAAATATCAGATTTTGAAATATACGAGTTCTTGTCCTTTTTTCATACCTATACTTCGAAGTTGAGTCATTTATTTTAACAGTGAGTACACCTGATCAAAAGAAATGTTTTTTTCCTATAACATTTTTCTGGTAAAATTAAAATAACAAAGTTATAGCCCTTTAGAAGTTTGAGTACCGCCCTGTCTCAATAATAATATTATGTGCTCGTGTTTGGCGACAACGGATATAATCCGCCTTATCGGTTCATCGCATCAGAAACAAAAAAGCGAAAGAATTTGAGACGCTTATCACGATGTTTTTACTACAATTTTATTCAGTTGTATTCAGTCAATGTGTCAGTCGGTAACGCGTGAGTGAATAGAGTTGTTTGTGTTGAAAATGCTGAACTTGTGGACATGATTCTTATTTACAAAATGCTGCCGCGGCATCACGGATTTATGCGGATCGGTTTCCCAATCGAGTGCAACCAACCCCTCGTGCCTTTGTTAATGTAGTACAAAGGGCTCGTGAATCAGGTGACTTACTTACAGGGGAGGGCATGCCGGTTCTCCAAGACCGCACGATCAAATACAGGTCCGCACTGAAATACTTGTCGGGAGAATACTTTATAAAACAACGTAACATTTTTTTGAAATTTTTTTTTTATTTTTACACACATATTTTGGTTTATCTTCCCTCTACAATCATTATCTGGAAATTAATGACTCAACTTCAAAGTCACCCTGTATATCGTCAAGGTCGGATCATTACGATAGATCTTTACGGCAATGCTAATTTCCTTAATTCATTTTGATTTGCATACTTGAGTCTTTTTATATTATTTGATATATAAACATTGGAAAATCCGTTAATCAATTGATAAGCGTTTCTAAGACGTGTATAATATTAAATTCTTCTTGTAACTGCAGTAAAGTCAGTCTGTTTGTTTGATTTTTAAAGTTAAAAGCACCATACAGGATAGAAAACAGAAGTGTACGTATTTGTAATGTGCATTGTTTTTTTATGTGAATGTTACTTGGTGGACGAAACACAGGTACAACCTCGAAAGTATAAAGAGGTACTGCGGTTTCAAAGTGTATTGGTGGTTATCGTCGATTCTATTCTACGCTACTCGGATATTCGGAACTGGGTTGGTAAATATGTATGTACAAATCGCAGTTTGTAGAATTACACCATAAACTTCATAGCTTATACCACAAGTAGATGAGAAACACGGTTGATCAGAGTTATTTATAATTATACAGTTTTATGGGCCATAATATATCGATTATGCCATAAACCGCGATGTTCCAAAAAAAGTATTAAAAACCTCAACTTTCATTGTATGATATTCTACTATCGTATCCCCTGCAAAATTTATTAAGCAATATTTTCTTCAGCTTGCAATAGAAAAATGGAAAAATGGTTAACGCCAAGTTGAAAGAATGTGAGAGATACATCACCTATATCCGGTTTCACCCAAAACTACCAGCTTTATAGCGTACAATAAGAAGGGTTCATTCTTTATCATATCCAAGATGAGTGATCGTATTTTTCGGCAGTAAGCAAAGGTCGCCTAGAATACTATTATTCTAAGAACAAACCACAACAAAGTATGAAAAGTAGCATTCAGCTTTTATTTAAACATCTGAGAAGATATAGAAGTCTAAAATACCAAAATGCTGCATTTGCTGAAACACAGTTACGAGGGTTAATGACTATTTTCCGCTCCTAATCTTCTTGCAATAAAGCTACATTTAATGTATACGGCTATTGTTTTACACAATCCTTACTAACATCAAAAGCAGCTATTCTGCTAGCTATCATTTCATTGCTAATGAAAATCAGGAATTGGGCAATCAGTAATCGTTGTGTATCGAAACTCAATCAGGAAGCAAGTTATTTGACTTTGTGGCCAGATCAGTAGGCCGCCAAGGCCAGTGATTGATAATGTGATTTATAACTATATGAAAACAGAAGTTGTTCGTAAAATCAGTAGGTTGATAATCTCTAAGTACCCTGCACCGGAGACGACACGATTCAGTTTAATATCAAAGCAGAAGTTTGGAATTCAAATTTTTTCTAACCTAAAATACCCTGCGATCTTCGTCTTTAGAGCTCAAGCATCATCTACCGCAGGATGTCGTTCCATTTAATTTATTTTACCAAGATGGCATCCAGCAGTGAACTTGAAATCTTTAGCTGCTGCTAGAATTATGATATTAAGTATTTATGCATGAATTCCATTATTTTGATTGTGTACTTATATAAATGCACTGCTCGAATATCCGAATCTCATACGATGGAATCGATGGTAAATTGTGTGCAGAATAAGGGCGTTGCAACCATGAAACAAAAACTGTGCAGCAGTGGGAGAAGTGTGGTTACATGGGCGTATTTTGGGGGGAGCTCATTTTCATAACGCCGGCAATGTTAAACCAATTTTTGAATACTGCCTATCTTTTTCATCTACGTCAGTAGTATTGCATTTATATATGGTAAATCTATTTAAGGATATACTTATACAAACGTTTACTGTTATTTTACTCAAAGCAAATTACGACAAATAACCCGTTTTCGCCAAAAATTCGGTGTCAATTCCAACGCACCCTGCATGGAGCTTTGAGCAAATTTCCAGCAATTTGGGGACAATCAAATCATGTATTTTTGACCAGGGTGTGAAAGATAATAAGGTTTTTCAGTTGACTTTATAAATATATAGTCTGGTAAAGCAGATTTTGGTGTGGAAATAATTTTTTATTATACTACCGTCATTATTAAACCAATCTTCGTTCTGCAAATCGTTTAGCGATATTTTCTCAAAGCAAATTATGATACCCCGTTTTTGTTAACAATTCAGAATCAATTCTAAGGACCCTACATGAACCAAAGCAATTTTCCAGCAATTTGGGAATAATCAAATCTCAGAAATCATGTCTTTTTGACCAGAATGTGCAATATAAAGTCAAGTCATGGCTTTTAAGGTTGACTGTCATATCACTGTAGACAACTCCGTATAAATAGTGAATAAAAAAAATGTAAAGACTAATAAAATAGATTTTGGGGGATCTTGTTTTCTATCATAAGACCGGCATTCTTGGTTCAGCAAATATTTTTTATCTATGTCTGAGTAGTATTGCTTTGATATAAATCTTTAACGTTCTAGCCAAACGAAAGTTTATCGTTATTTTTCTCAAAGCAAAAATTTGATATCAACTCCAAGGCACTCTGCATGAACCTTTGAGCAAATTTCCAGCAATTTGGAGACAATCAAATATCTCAGAAAACATGTATTTTGGACAAAGATCCATAACATAAAGTCAAATCATATCTTTTAAGATTTTTTAGTTGACTTTCATATCCTTGTAGGTAACTCTGTTTAAATAATGAATAAAGAAAAATATACTAAGTGACATATAAATCCGAACACCCAGTTTAAATAGGTTTATTTTAATAAAATTTTGTATAAGTACTTAATGAAGCATAATAAGTAAATGATAAAAATTTCAAAATGATTGCACTGCTTTAAAGCCCTTTGACCTTTAATAATGTGTGGATGCACCCTGATGTGCTACGCATTCTCCAACGCGCCTAGGCATGCTTCTGATCAGGTGGTCAATGTCCTCCTGTGGTATCTCATTCCAGGCAACCACCAACTCCTCTCGAAGTGCTTCTAGAGTCTGAGGAGGACGTTGCAAATTGAGCATCATATCCCACACGTGCTTAATTGGGGATCAGTCGGGAGATCTTGGAGGCCATGGTAACAATGTGACATCATTATGTTGAAAGAAGTCTATTGTGACTCTTGCAACATGTGGTCGGGCATTATATTGTTGGAAAGTTGGATCTGCCAGGGTGTCAAGATAGGGTAAAAGATGGGGTTCTAGAACTTCGTGGATATAACGCTGCGCGTTCATGTTACCTCTGATGAAGATTAAAGGTGACCTGGAACCATAAGCTATAGCACCCCAAACCATAACTCCAATAGTGTGATGTACATGTCTTTCAACAAAAAACTGTGGATTCCTCCTTTCATCACGTTGCCTTCTATCCCTGGCACGACCATCGTGCATGCCTAAACAAAATCGAGACTCGTCACTAAAGACAATACTGTTCCATTCCTGATCCCAGAGTGACAGTTGTCTGCACCACTCAAGGCGATTACGTCGGTGTTCTCGAGTTAAAGGGAGGACCCAGTGTGGCCGGTATGAAAACAAGCCTAAACTTCTCATTCGTCGGTAAACACTTCGCATGCCAATAGGTCTTCCATGTTCTGCAAACCATTCATTTGCAATGGACCTGGTAGTGGAGAAACGGTCCCTTAAGGCCAATAATCTTAGGCGGCGATCTTCACGGTCTGTTGTTCTACGGCGGCGTCCAGTGCCCCTTGCTCTTTGCGTACGGCCTTCTCGAAGCCATGCCTGACAACACCTAACCACAGTGTCTACACTTCTTTGCACTCAAACTGCAATTGCCCGAAAAGAAAGTCCAGCTTCCCGAAGTCCCACTATACGGCCCCTATCAAACTCACTAAGTTGACGAAATCGTACAGGTCTCCCTACTCTAGGCATCGTAACCGATCGTAAATAATTAAAATAAAACCATTTAAACTGGGTGTTCGGATTTATATGTCACTTAGTATATAAAGACTAGTGAAATAAATTTTGGGGGGAGCTTATTTTTATCATAATTAATCTGCGTTCTGCAATTCTTTTTTATCTACGTCATAGTAGTGCTGCTTTGATATAAATCTATCTAACGTTCTGGCCTTACGAACGTTTAGCGTTAATTTAACTCAAAGCAGATCACGACACAAAAATTCCGTGTCAATTCCAAGCCACTCTGCATGAATCTTTGAGCAAATTTCCAGCAATTTGGGGGTAAGCAACTGTCTCAGAAATCACGTGTTTTTAACCAATATAGATAATAAATAAAGAAAAATATAAACACTCGAAACTTTTTGAAATTTCCTTTTTAGGTTGCCCCCTTTTGTGTTTTGTGTTATACGCCCATGTGTGGTCAAAGGGCTAAGCTTTCAAACACAGGCAAAATGTTACTACTTGCCAGGCAATTCCTCCATGATGCATCTATTACTATTACTAGCAACTCTCCATCTTGTTGCATCCACATTCACACTTATTTACAGTTTGTTTGATTTTTGCCATTAACACACCGACTTATGAAAAATATCAACGAAGTTTTAGCACTCGGGTATAGTTCAAAATAGCGTTACCGGCTTTTTAATGTACTTATTGAAGTCGTTCCTCATGAGCATGTAGCAAAGCGATATCAGTATGAACATTCCCAATAAGGTATATTGGAATGTCAATATCCAGAATGCCAGCAAATAAGCTGTGCGATTGCAGTACGGTCCTAGCTTTGAGTCGTAATTGGGTTGGTATTCCTTGTAAACCACATAAGTGCCTGAAAATAAAAGACGAATGAATTTTACTTCATGTATGGAAATGCGTTCTGATATAGAATCGCGAACTCGACATGAATCTGCAGTCAAAATTGGTAGTTGCTAATTTGAATTGTACAAAGTTGACCTCCAAATGACCTCTGAGGTCAATCACTCAATAGATAGTACAGTGTATAGCTTCAATATCCTGTATCTCCGGAGGCACTTCAAGTCCTATGGTTATAGAAAGATTTCATAATATCTTTGGAAACATAGTAGCACGTGCAACCCCATGGGCGGGGGTGACACCAACCCTAAAATCTTAAATGGAAAGGGGGGTCGAGTGATACCTTATCTTAAAGGTCCTTTAATTCCATTTATAATGATGTAAAATACATGAGCTTCAGTTCAGTAGTTTTGAAGATTTTTTTATTTAAAGCTTAAAGTTGACTTAAACAGGTACATCAGATTAGTTTGTACTACTTTCAGAAGAGTGTTTTTTTTTTTGGCAAAAAAGTTATTTCTTGAAGAAAGATAAGGAAATATCTCGTACTTATTTTAAATAGGAATTTAGTACCTAGTTGCGATTGATTTGACCAACAACTTATAACGCTTTATTACATAAATTAACCATGGCATATTCCACAGCAGAAAGAGTTGAAATTAGCGAAATATTTTTCGGAAATAATCAATGCGCTAATCGAACAGCAGAAATATTTAATGAGCGACATGAGAACAGTAGCGTGCATCGAAAATATGTTCTAGAACTTGTAGCTAAATTTCGGGAAACTGGGTCAGTCGCCAATAAAAAACGCAACATTGAAAATCCCATAACGAACGAAGCAATAGAAGTGGGGTTTTAGGGCAAGTTTATGTAGATCCTACGTTAAGTACCCGCAAATTGGAGACTGTGTGTGGTGTTAGTCGACGTACTGTCCAACGGATTCTAAAGCCCCATAGTTTTCATCCGTATAAAATTCACCTTGGCCATTGAATGGCCCCCAAGATCGACAGATTTATTACCATTGGATTTCTTTATGTGGTCATTTAAAAAGCAAAATCTATGCTACTCAGCCAACATCATAAGAAGACCTGCGACAAAGAATTGTGAATGAGTGCCTTCAAATTACTCTTCAAATATTGCAAAAACGTTTTGAGCAAAATCTTTATTATTGCATTCCATTTAAGATTTTGGGGGGTGGTGTCGCTCCCGCTTAGGGGGCTGCACGTACTATCGTGATTTTTTGCCAAACTTGTGTCACCTTCGAAAACAAAATCGAAGGGTCTGAGCGTTTTTCCAATAAAACTGAGCTGCCAGTAAATGCGTTTTCGATCCGCCACCCTGTATATATATGTATATATGTATATATACAGGGTGTCCCAGAACTCGACGTCAAGCCGAAACCGGGTGATAGGCAAAGTCATAACAGCTATCAGAAACATATTTAAAAAAATTTTATGTATGTGTTTTTAAAATTATAGGTCTTTGAAAAAAAATATAGAAATTTCACACCCTACGGCAGTCTGTCAACTCCTGTTACTACAAATATTAACTTTTTTTGGATTTTATTTTTACAATGTAATGACGAATAATTCATCTTCAAACTGGTGTCTCAACCTTACTGCCAACTTTTCTCGTTCAGGAAAAATTGCCACTTATTTCCCAACCAAGTATTCCAAAGTAAAACTTTGCTCAACTTTAACTGGCTGTACTGGAAAAAAATATACTACGAGAGTTTGGCAAGTAACCTTAAAAGGCGCATTTAATAAGGATTCCAAAATGGTATAACACTTAGAAGATTACTCGTTAACTTATGCACAATTTTTATTTGAAGAAAAACTGATGAAAATTTTTCAAAATTTTCCAATTAAACAGCGATTATGAAAACGCACAAGGACCCTTAAGGATAACTGTTTGCACAACAGTGGGCGTCAAAATGCTGCTGATGATGATTTACCTTTACAGCAAATGCTCAAACTGTTTTCCTTCAGCCGTAATACACGCTCGACGTCTTCTTAAAAAAGATCGGGTTATTAAACGAGCGAATCCACGGTTATTAACAAACTCAGCTGCTTCCAATAGTCTTTGCCGTAGCTCAGCTACATTTTGAATCGGCTTGAAATACATTTTTTCTTTTTTTTTTTAAAAAATCTAACGGATTCAAATCTGATGACCGGGCTGGCCACGGTATTGTACCAGACCGCCCTATCCAATCTGCTTGGAAAGTTTTGATCGAGATACTCTCTCACTGAGAGTGCATAGTGCGCTGGGCAGCCATCATGCTGAAACCACATGTCCCTGTAAATACTCAGTGGCACGTCCTCCAATAAATTTTCTAAATGATTTTGCAAAAAACCTAAATAAACCTCAGCAGTCAAAGTCTCTGGGAACTCAAACGGACCGAATATTTTACCATTTAAAATTCCTGTCCAATGGTTTATCTTGAAGCGATATTGAGATTTATCTTCTCTCATCAAATGTGGGTTTGCTACGTGCCACTCGTGTAAGTTATGCAGGTTCATGTACCCATCTTTCTTAAATGTGGTCTCATCTGACCATAAAATTTTTTCAAAGAACCGTGGATCTTCCCTGTGTCTTTCTAACATTGTGCGACAAAAAGCAACTCGGGGCTCATAATCCCGGGGCAGAAGAGCTTGAACACGCTGTACGTGGTATGGATGGAGAACGTTTTTTTGCAAGATTCTATGGGCTGTACTTTTGGGCACACCTGTTTTTAGTTCTATTGCATGCACTGAAGTACTCGAGTCTTCTTCGACAGCTCCTTCGTAAGGAAGGAAAGATCTTCCCTCACTGTGTGATTGGTTTGGTAGTTGGCCCTCTGAGAACAGTAAGCGGTGCACATTTGTGAACACTCGATGATCTGGATGACGAGCTGCATTCGGGTACGTCTCACAGTAAAGTTTCGCTGCAGCACTAGCGTTGCATCTGCATTCCCCATAAATGAGGTGCATGTTAGCACATTCTTGTACGGTGTACACGGACATAGCGGCACTGCACAATCACACTATCAAAGATAGTCTAAGGAAAGCAAATGTTGTTTTGAAGAGCAATTAAACAGTCCAAATCCAAATCACAAGCGATCAACAGTCCACTTCACGAATCCAAAATTAGTAACAGTACGAAATCAACAAGCACGAACATGTAAAGATGCACAGTAAACAAAGGAGTACTGATAGGTTTTAAAGTGTGCAATAGCAAGTAAGTGATGTGCTTCATCCATACCACATACAGCGTGTTCAACCTCTCCTGCCCCGGGATTATGAGCCCCGAGTTGCTTTTTGTCGCACAATGTTAGAAAGACACAGGAAAGATCCACAGTTCTTTGAAAAAATTTTATGGTCGGATGAGACCACATTTAAGAAAGATAGGTACATGAACCTGCATAACTTACACGAGTGGCACGTCGCAAACCCACATTTGATGAGAGAAGATAAATCTCAATATCGCTTCAAGATAAACCATTGGACAGGAATTTTAAATGGTAGAATAATCGGTCCGTTTGAGTTCCCAGAGACTTTGACTGCTGAAATTTATTTGGATTTTTTGAAAAATCATGTACAAAATTTATTGGTGGACGTGCCACTAAGTATTTACAGGGACATGTGGTTTCAGCATGATGGCTGCCCAGCGCACTATGCACTCTCAGTGAGAGAGTATCTCGATCAAAACTTTCCAGGCAGATGGATAAGGCAGTCTGGTACAATACCGTGGCCAGCCCGATCACCTGATTTGAATCCTTTAGATTTTTTTACTGGGGAACTGTAAAAGAAAAAGTGTATTTTAAGCCGATTCAAAATGTAGCTGAGCTAAGGCAAAGACTATTGGAAGCAGCTGAGTTTGTTAATAACCGTGGATTCGCTCGTTTAATAACCCGATCTTTTTTAAGAAAATGTCGAGCGTGTATTGTGGCTGAAGGAAAACAGTTTGAGCATCTGCTGTAAAGGTAAATCATCATCAGCAGCATTTTGACGCCCACTGTTGTGCAAACAGTTATCCTTAAGGGTCCTTGTGCGTTTTCATAATCGCTGTTTAATTAGGAAATTTTGAAAAATTTTCATCAGTTTTTTTTCAAATAAAAATTGTGCATAAGTTAACCAGTAATCTTCTAAGTGTTATACCATTTTGGAATCGTTATTGAATGCACCAACTTTTAAGGCTACTTGCCAAACTCTCGTAGTACATTTTTTTCCAGTACAGCCAGTTAAAGTTGAGCAAAGTTTTACTTTGGAATACTTGGTTGGGAAATAAGTGTCAATTTTTCTTGAACGAGAAAAGTTGGCAGTAAGGTTGAGACACCAGTTTGAAGATGCATTATTCATCATTACATTTTAAAAATAAAATCCAAAAAAGGTTAATATTTGTAGTAACAGGAGTTGACAGACTGCCGTATGGTGTGAAATTTCTGTATTTTTCAAAGACCTATAATTTTCAAAACACATATATAAAATTTTTTTAAATATTTTTTTGATAGCTGTTATGACTTTGCCTATCACCCGGTTTCGGCTTGACGTCGACTTCTGGGACACCCTGTATATAGGGCAAAAAATACAATTAACTGTTAATTGGGAAATTGGCAATCTTTCAGGCTTTAGTTGACTCTTTTGACGATAAAATCAAGCTTTCGGCATTCTCTATGGAGCCTTCATCAGGATTCGTCGTTGAGATTGCAGCCAAATGGTGTTTCAAAACGAAACGAAAGTAAAGATGAGAGAACTTGTCACAAACATAAAAACAATCGGACGGAGACATTGGGCTTATCGATAACGACAGATACCTTCGTTATGTGTTAAAAATATCAATACACCCGAACAAATTAAAAATTATCAATCACAGTCAGGCAGAAATAATATGTCTTTCTGTTGTTCTATCCTTCGTTTAACCTCTTTTAATCATTTTTTGTGACAAAGGGATATCAGGGTTGTGTCAGTCTACTAACAACAAAGCAAACACACCGCCGTATATTTGATGTCATTAACAGTTATCTGGCTTTCACGTAGGTCTACGAGATTCCCGTAGACCCAGAATAGGCAAGAAAAGTTGAATGGAGGTTTGAATAGTGGTAGGATACATACACGAGTATAAAGGGCAAGGGGCGTAGTCGGAAGTAGCAGAGAAAAGGGAAGGTTTTTAGGTGATGGAACCACCGAGCACGTATTCAGGGGAAAACGGAAGTTGAACAGTGTCGTAAACCGCAAAAAGTATCCGGAATCGCAAAGGTAGCGAAATACGACAAAAGGGAGAACTTGGCGTTGCTGGAAGTTGTCTCTGTTTCAAGGAAGAGAGGCATCGTTTATTGAGTCTAGCCCATAATAATTGGTTAGAGGGCTCGTTGCAAGCTACGACGCCATTTTTCACACATATAAAATGCAAATGCAGAATTATTTATTGAACTTTGATAAAAACTTGTAAACATATTTGCTATCGTGGTATACGCTGATAGAATGTTGAAGGCATACTTGTTTGTAAAGGCTTTTTGGTCATATCAGGATCAGTAGGCTCCATTTGTTTCATTGTTGTTTCATTTCACTATCATGCCTAGAGGTACTGTGCCTCAATAATATAATAAACGTCTTCATTTCCAAATAGACTGAGTATACAGGGTGACTTTGAAGTTGAGTCATTAATTTTCAGATAATGATTGTAGAATGAAGGTAAACCAAAATATGTGTGTGAAAATAAAAAAAAAAATAAAAAAAAATGTACCTTGTTTTATAAAGTATCCTCCCGACAAGTATTTCAGTGCGGACCTGTATTTGATCGTGAGGTCTTGGAGCACCGGCATGCCGTCCCCTGTGAGGTCTTAAGTCACCTGATTCACGAGGGGTTGGTTGCACTCGATTGGGAAATCGATCCGCATAAACATGTGCCATTTTTTATTTCATTTGAGCCACGCAATAGACACCACTATTCACTCACGCGTTACCGACTGACACTGACTGTATACAACTGAATAAAATAATTGTAAAAACATCGTTCCAAATTCTTTCGCTTTTTTGTTTCCGATGCGATGAACCAAACACGAGCACATAATATTATTATTGAGACAGGGCGGTACTCAAACTTCCAAAGGGCTATAACTTTGTTACTTTAATTTTACCAGAAAAATGGTAAAGGAAAAAAACATTTCTTTTGATCAGATCTACTCACTGTTAAAATAAATGACTCAACTTCGAAGTCACCCTGTATAAAAAATAGCCAAATACGGCCGAAGTTCAGCTGTAGCTGCTCTTCCACTTAACCCGCTACAAAAAGTCTGTACAAAAGGTGTGTGAGACCTACTTATTTTACACATTACAATTACTAAATGTATATGCAGTGCTTACATTAATACATCTACTATAAAAGAAACATAAACTTGTATCAATATTTCCCTGAAACATGGTTACTACTGCTGGGATAAGAGATATTTTTTTAATTGAGTTTTGAAACTTGAGATGCTCAGAGTTTTATATTGTACCGGAAATGGAACAAATTCGGTAGCTGAACGATCGTTCAAATTGGACTGTTCGGAATATTTGGCTACAAAATAATCCACAACTTAATTGATTGCCCCATGATCCTGGAACAGATCAAGTTTCGTACTCCAACGTTTGCATCTCGCAATCATAAAATATTCGGGCTTCCTAGAGCTAGGACAAACATTCTTCTCAAGTCACCGTTATATGTACTGTGCTCTAACTCATGTTATAAATTTATACCTAAGTTGTATTTGTTGTTTTCTTTTTTCGCTTTTTTTTGCTTTTGTATTATGTTTATAAATTGTAATATAAATGGGAAACTGTTGGACAATAAAGCTATTATTATTATTATTATTAGAGTGCGCAGACTCAACTTTCAGGGTTTTGAGAGATGATAATCGAGTTACGTGGAGCCGGATTCTCTATTAGAGAAATCGCTGATTGGACGAATCGAAACGGAGCTACTGTAATGAGATGTTTCTGAGCGTCGTTCCAAGAAGGTCGAAATCGACAAGCTACAGGTACTGGACGTCGATGACAGACTACTGAGCGACAGGATCGTTTTTTGAGGCAGCTAGCACTTGATCGATTTTCCACAATAAGGGCGGTTGCGAACCAGTGGTTTCATGCTGACAATAAGAACAGTTTATCGCTGAATAAGGTCTTTTCATACCGTCCCAATCATGTACTACTTCTAACCCGACAGCATCCTTGCTACGATCGGTATAGAGTAGGGAGAGACTTGAATGGAATATGGAATGGAACTCAGTCGTGTTCAGTGATGAGTCCTGATTCTGTTTTGGCACACATGGTGGCCGAGCAAGAGTAAGGAGGTGACGTGGCCATCGAAAGGCAATTTCATCGCGCTCAGGGTTTTATAGTATGGGGTTGCCATTGCTTATGGCAGCTGGTCACGATTAGTGATCATTCGAGATAGCAAACTGCATTGCAACCTGCTACAGTGGCCTCCTCGATATCCAGACATTTCCCCCATCGAACATGTACGGGGGACATGATAATAATAATAATAATAATAATAATAATAATAGCTTTATTGTCCAACAGTTTCCCATTTATAGGACAATTTATAAACATAATACAAAAGCAAAAAAAGCGAAAAGAAAACAACAAATGCAACACAGGTATAAATTTGTAACATGAGCTATTGACACTGGACGGCAGTGTGAATGCGACTGTACAAGACTTTCGAGAACATGTATAATATACAGATTGCCCTGTAATTCTCAATATTTGACTTATCCCCACACTTAAACACTGGTCAGACCTTAGCGATCTTCCAAATATCTGGAAGTCTTTTTGTTAGTTAGAACACCAACTAACACTTCCACACAATCTTCGACTATAAAGGACGGGATGCCATCTAGACCAGATGTCATCTTATCCTTTAGTGATTTAATGGCCTTCCTGACTTCATTTTCCTCAATTGGATGAAAATGGACAAAGAAATTACTATGATTTAGTGAGGCATTATTATGGGGCTAGTGAGTGACATAGCCGCTGCTGAAAAACTCACAGCATGCGCTTACTATATCCTGAGGCTGATCTATAGAATTATTTTGAAATTTCATTATCCCTGGGATTCGTGATGTGTTGTTTTTGGAGTGAACGTATGATCAAAAAGCATTGGGGTTAATTGTTAAAGAATTCTGGATATTTTCAATATATTGATCATACGCTGATTTAATCTGGTTTTTTATCAAGCGGCTCAAACGTTTGAATTCTTGTAGATCATCAACAAAAGCAGACCTGTTGATTTTTTCCTAAATTTAGCTTTAAGTTTAATGTTCTTAATAATAGCTGAGTGAAACCAAGGCGGGTATCGGTGACTGTAATTCTTATACAGAGGTATGTGCCTGTCAAAAATTTGGAAAATGTTGCCATAAAATACATCATCAATATAATTAACATCAGAAGAGCAGAATAAAACATCCCAGTCAAATTGAATTAGCTCTTGATACAGGTTGACAAAGTCAGCCTTTCTGTAGTTATAAGTTATTTTACTATGATATAATGTAAACTTAAGTTCTTTAATGAATATGGCAGTCAAATCAACAGCTAGTGCACTAGAGGTAGTTCATCACGCTTAACAGTACAGGGTAATTTAGAAATTACCAGGTCTAGCGACCGACCAAGTTGATTTAAGACATTATTTGGCTGCTTATAATTGAAAATGTCCAAAAAATTATGGATAATGCGTGTCTTAGGGTCTAGAAGATTGCCATTTACAAGTTGAGGCACATTAAAATCTCCTAGAAACAGGGAATTACAGTCGCGCAAATATCGAGTTGCTCAACAGCATCAAAGAACGATTCAAATTCATCAACAGCAATTTTGTCAGGAACAGCCACAAAAAATGTCTTATATGCCACATGGCATCTCACTATTAAAAGATCAATTGATGGAAATTGTGCATCAAATACAGCAACATCTATAACCTCAGATTTAATGCATTCCTTAACAGCTAGAAGCACTCCACCGCCACATTCCTTATCAACCATTGTAAATTTACGGTCCTTCCTATGAACAATATAAGAGTCAGGAATTAGTTCAGCACTCAAAACATTCTCATTCAACCACGTTTCACTTAATGAAACTAAGTCATATTCACTATCACTAATAGCCGGACTGATTATATGTAACTTACTATTCAACCCACGAACATTTTGATAGTAGCAAAATTATGCTTTTGTTAGCAATAATGATGATCGTGTAATGAGGATGAAATATGCGCAAAAAGCAAGCAATGAATGTCCATAATAGTGAACTGTTCACCTACCTACACCATGCCAGAATATGTCGAATATAACCAATACCATCGCCAGATTGAATGCAAATCTATTTTCTATTTTTGTTAAAAATTTTGCAACACCACCCACAAAGCCTGCAAAAGAAATGATGAATTCACCAAACAAACTGACTCGAGCACAATGTTTTCTAGAGATATTTTTGGAAAACAAAAAAATAGTGTCAAGTTCAGCACAAGTTAAAATTAGCTACGGTTGTGTACAGTGTAAAAATTAAACAGAACTAGTCAGTCAAACAGGATAAAATGGAGAAAAATAGCAGAAAAGATGAAAGCAACAACCGTACAGGTCACAATATGGACTGGTCATAGCTTAACTTCATTAATGACTAAATAAAATCGATGGGGAAATTCCTAAAGCCAAACATCGACAACTCACCTGCTACTATCAAGTAAATTGGTATCATTCGATTTATGGAGCAGTTGTTCAAGTTGACCCATCCGATTGTGAACATGGCTATGAACATTGCGTACAACATCACCACAGATGCATTTATTCCAGCTGAAACAATATCAGTTGCTATCATCATCGCAGAAAAAGGATAACATCTATTTTAAAAGCTTTTTCTAACTTGACCTGAATTTTTGAACTAGTTAACCTTAACGAACTGAGCTGACATTTTGTGCCCACGTTTGGCGCGCGCGACAAAACAAAATGGATTAACTACCGCCATCTTGAATTCATATGGCGTGAGCTACAAAATGGCGATTCACCAATTTCTTGGTAACAAACATGATGTGGGTATTAAATGAGAGGGCTCGATGAGGGAAACACAATAGGCAAACTGACGTCATTTTAAATCCAACATGTCAAAAATGGCGATTTATATTTTTTCAAGCTACTCCAACGATATGGGTATCAAATGGAACAGCTTGATGAAATGAGATAAACCCAATAGGCAAAGTGACGTAATTCCAGATCCAATATGGTGACCGCCCGGTTTATGTCCCACCTTCTGTAACGACGGAGGTGTTTGAGTATTATCTGGATGCCTTGGAAACATGTTGTTTTTGATTCTTACCAAATTTTAATTCTCGGTGACTTTTAATTTAGACAGAAATGATCGTAAATGTCAAATTTTAAACCAGTTCTGCTCTTTTTCAAACCTTATAAATTACAACGATCATAACATCGTTGGTTGTCAGAGCGGTCCGGGGGACCTTAGCTCTTTTGTCACAGTGTCAGTTTGTAAGTCTGTCAGGTCTGGTAACCCAGGAACCAGACAATTTTAAGGAAAAAAGGGAAGGAAATGAGAGAAGGAAGAACGAGAGCAAAGGGGAAGACGAGAATCTTTTAGGATAGGCAGCGTTTAGGCATTTTTAAAACCACTAATTTTAATATGGTCTAAAATATTCGATGTTTTCTAAAGATTTTGTCAAAATGCTCCACTTTTGGTTGTTCTAAGTTCACGAATTGATTTTTAATGTTAGAAATCATAGCGGCCGACTTTTAGACCTAGTTTTACATAATTTTAAAGTTGCAGTGATCAGGAATGACTACCACTAGTTAGGGAAGATTTGCATCATTCTGCTATCACTGGACAACAAATTTTAGTTTTTTAATTGTATCTTGTGGGAAAAGTGCACTTCTTTGTTAATTTTGGGTCGCTGAATCCAAAAATGACAATGAAATAAAAAAATTAGTTGCGGTGTAGAAAAAAAACTTTTTATTTTTAAGGATATATTAAAAAAAGTAACAAGATTCATATACTTATAAGAATCACTATATGCGCTGTATTTTTGCTGTTCTTTTATGGATCGTTTCTGGAGCATCTCTACCAAGAGTCCAACAGTAGTCTGCAAGCATGGAAGGATTCCACTTTTCCTGGTACCTTTTTTCCATTGTTGAAATATCCTGATGAAAACGTTCGCCGTGCTCATCACTTACGGCTCCGCAATTGTCAGGAAAAAAGTCCGGGTGTGAGTGTAGGAAATGTATCTTAAGAGACATACGAGTATTACAGCCCATCTTTTGATACGATGACAGCATATTTTTGACAAGGGTTTTATAGTTGTCAGCTTTTCTATTTCCCAAGAAATTAGTGACCACCAGACGGAAATCATTCCAAGCAGTTTTTTCAATACCTGTTAAAGTGTTTTCAAACTGTGTATCTTTCAAAATATTTCGAATCTGTGGCCCAACAAAAATACCTTCTTTAACCTTTGCCTCACTTAGTCTTGGAAATTTCTGAAGCAGGTATTGAAAAGCTGACCCATCTCTTTCTAATGCCTTGACAAAGTTTTTCATTAGGCCCAACTTGATATGCAGTGGTGGTAATAAAAATTTTTTCGAATCTACTAATGGCATATGCTGTACATTTTTTTGACCTGGCTCTAGGAATTGACGAACAGGCCAGTTTTGTCTGGTGTAATGAAGTGCCTTTGCCCGACTGTCCCATTCACACAAAAAACAGCAAAACTTTGTGTAGCCTAGCTGCAGCCCAAGTAAAAGTGCAACAACTTTCAAATCGCCACAAATATGCCATTGGTGCTCATCGTATTTTATGCATGTCAATAGGTACTTCTTATTGTCATATGATTCTTTCGCAGATGGTATGTTTGGGTAGTTAATAACCGATTTTTTTTTCTTGGACATACCTGTGGCTTGTCCAACACAAGGTACCATGCAAAAGTAACAATCATTAATATGATTTGTAGGCTCTCTCCAAACCATTGGGACAGCAAAGCGCATAGACCGTTTTTTTCCATTTAACCAGCTCCTCAGACTTGAAGCACATGTATTACAGCAGATGTGGGGTGCCCACTGTTTGTCTTGATCACCTAGTTTACAACCGAAATAAAACTGATATGCCTTTGTTATTAGTGGAGTAATAGACTGTCTCTGAGACGCAAAAGTCACATCACCACACACGTAACAAAACTGATCTGGATTGTTTACACACTTTCGAGACATCTTGAGCATGAACGCTGTTAGCCGACTGAGGAAAAAATGGCTAATATAAAACAATATAATGTACACGTATATATAACGTAACACAATCATGCCGATTACATCATCTTTCCTTGTCGAATATAAAAATGTAGCACGTGCATTCTTGTGAAGTACAGTATATTAACACTGTCACAGCAGGAACACATATAATTACCGTATCTCTAAAACTTGAACGAATATTGAAAAACTAAGTTTCATTCCGGTTTTAGCGCATTAAAAATAGTAATATTTTGTAGATTTTATTTAGGATATTTTTTGGCTGTTGATCAGTGTAATCAAATTCTGTATTGGTGATAGTATGCAAGGATTTTGAGTTTGGTGATCAAAAATACAATTTATATAATTATATTGATATGCACTGTACAGCATTTTTTATTGCGGATTGGTCTCCAATTCATGACATGAATGATTTAAATGATGTGATGTGATTATTTTTATTCAATCATAAGAGAAATTTTCGAGAACAACGGCCCTAAATATAAAATAAATCCTCGTTCATAGCCTCCTTGGTTTACAAAGGAAATTATTTCAAATATAAGAGAAACGGACAAGCAACCCATTCAAGCCACTGTTATTTAAAATTCTAACAACTTCGAGCTATGATTAAAAATCAAATTATAGTCTCCTATTCAGCTTACATTCAAAATGTTGAGGATAGGATCCCACTAATTTTTAAACGAATCAAAGTGTTTCACTATGGGAGTAAAAGCTCAAACATTTATAAATTTATAACAAGAAGAAGTGGTGGAAGAGGCACAAAATATCTTGCTAGCTTCATTGATAGGATATATGTCATATTGGATGAAACGTAACTGCAACAAATTCTGAGGGAACAATTCAATGACGCGTATCAAGTTACGAGCCCATTCTGGCGTTATGCTATCGGAGAAAATGTATTTGACGCCTATAAAATGGATGAAACGAATAATGCCGGCATTCACTGCTTAATCCATCATCGCGCCGTGGTAGCTTATTGTGCTTTCGGTAAAATAACCCTCTTATTTCTATACAGTTATAGTCTAGGCGATTTAGCTGCTCATCGACAAAGACACCTGCTTGTGGAGATAGTCAATACTTAGTTAGGTATTTCTCAGTTCAATTCAACATTCACGCTCGACTATGTGAAACAGGCAGTTTCAAGAGATCCACACATGTTGCAAGTGTAAGAACCATCCAAATCGAGGAAGCTGTGCTTAATAAGATCGAAGAGGACCCTACAAGTCCATGGACGTTATTCGCTTCCCTGGTCGCCTTATTTCCAGGTTTGGCGATGTTCATTGTCCTCCGCGGTCCCCAGATTTATCCATATGCGATTTTTTCTTATGTGGACACCTCAAGGCTAGAATATACGCGAACAAGCCCCGAACTCTGGACGAATTGAAGATCGAAATTCGCGTGGAAGTCGCCCAAGTTGAGAGAGCGATGTTGGAGAGAGTCTACGCGAACCTCCAAGAACGCCTCCGGCACTGCATCGGCGATTTCGGCCACCACTTGCCTGATGTGATTTTTCACACTTGACTGTCTCAAATGCTATTTCTTTGTGAACCTGATTCCATCAATAAATTTGTTTTCGAGTAAAAATTAACTATTTTATGTATTTTTTAAAACCAACCATCCTCTCTGCCGCACCCTGTACAACGTGTACAAGCGCTTTTGCCTCAAAATTGGGCTATAAGAGTTGATTTTTGCAACTGGTTACGTGAAAAAGTAACATTAAAACAATTTTTTTTAAATGGAATACTATTCACGGATGAAGCATGTTTTTCGCGAACAACAATCATTAATTTCCATAATGACCATGTACGGTGTGAAGAAAATCCCCATGCCATAATTGAACATAATACGCAACACGACTCTTTCTTCAATATTTGGATTCCCCCCCGGCTGAAATATTCATTTTTAGAGCGTTAGTGAATTAAAAAAAAGCAGCATAAAAACCGGAACGTCCAACTGATAAGGCTGAAAATTTTTTCACTTGTTACTTATAGTAAGATAAATACATTCACCATTTTTTATTAAATTAAAACCATTTAAACTGGGTGTTCGGATTTATATGTCACTTAGTATACAGGGTTATCCAAATTAAGTGTCCACCATTAGTAACTTTGTTATTAGTGAAAATACAAAGTTGTTTGAATTAGCAAACTAGTAGCATTTTTAACGCTGGTAAAAATAAGAAATAAAAAAAAAACAATTGAGAGTCGTTATTTTGATTTTTTTCAGTAAAATAACATTTTTTTAAATGGAAACCCCTGTATATTATATTTTTTTCTGTTAAAGCATCAAATTTTAAACTAAAAAGCTTACAATAACTTTTCTCCTAGGTTACAAATTGTTGAAGTTATGGCCTCCAATCTGAAACAATTAAATTGTATCGACAAACTTTATTTTCAACATCAACTTATAATCTTGCAAAATACAATAACAATTTTTTTTAAAGAAGATGCTCGAAAACACCGCCTTGTTCTTCAATACATTTTTGGGCACGTTTTTCAACTGCTCGAACTGTCTTAAGTATGGTCCTACCATCTATCTGGGTTATCTTTTCCCTAACTGCAGTCTTTAACGCGTCAAGGTTATCGTACCTTCGCTTGTAAATTTGGTTCTTTAAGT